TGATACCAGAATTTGCTTTTGTCTCTTTATATATAAACTTTAGTCTGTAGTAGCTGGAGTCAGATTTCAGGAATGAAGGAAATGTGGAAATCTCTGGACAAAGTGTACTAAATTGGCTCAAAAAAGGGCAAGTTCAGAATCTGTCAAGCTCTAAAACCTTTTGTGATATGGAACAACTGTGTGGTAACCTTATGTTTTAAAGTTGCTAGGGGCTTTTTTGTGGTCCATAAGCTTCATTAACAAACAAAACGGATGGAAAAAATTGGCAGATCTGATGTTTGGTCTTAAGTGGAACTCAGGAAAAAGGCTTGTATTTATTTTCAGTACTCTTATTCAGAGGACTTTCCCTCATTTCTTATCTTTTCAATTGTTCTAATATTCTTTGTTACATTTGAGAAAATGCTTCTCTTGGTGTCACAAAGCTGATTTACAGCCTCCGTAACAGAAGGAGATGTATGCGGCTAACTACCGGCTGAACTCAGTATCAAAGGTTCTTAAGTAAAATGTTTACTGAATGCTTGTGAGGCTGGATCTCAAGATTGAGAACACGTGTAACTAGCTGATGAGAGACCATATTTTTCTTACCCCTGAGGCTGGGAATCAGGGCTTACCAGAAGTTGACGCTGCAGCATCTTTATCGAAACTTTTCTAACGCTTACAATACTTAAACTGTGTTTCCCCCGCTCTGTGTGACTATTCATAACTTAATTTCCCATCAGGTTCAGAATTTTCTTTGAGCATAGCTAGTACTGACAAATTAACCCGAACTCTTAGTGGAGTTAATGGTTTATAATCAAATTCTAAACATGTTTTGAATGATAAGGTGAAAACGGAATGGTGGAAGTTAACACAAAAGTCATGTGCTGGTGGCATCTAACGCGTTTGCCTTTTATGGCTGGGGACCCGTGCAAATGGATTGCCAAGTCGAGTGAAGTCTGCTATCAAACACACTACAGAGCCTTGTTGAACTGCACAAGTGTCCAGAAGCCTGTTCTGAAATGAGCAAAGCCTGAAGTATCCTTAATTAAAACTGTGATAATGAGAGGACAAAATACTAATCACTTTTGGGGGCTACTGTAAACTTTTAACCTGTTTCCTGTACGTGTAGAAGATACTGTAGAAGAAGATGCCAGTACAGCAGACTACTAAAATTTTGGCTAATGTGAGAAGATCTGTCATTTACCTTTTATAGGTTAACAGTATTCTGGTATTTCAGACAGCTTCAAGACAAAAACTGACACTCTCAGCTATCAGCAAAAGAAAAAAAAAGTATAAAGCACCTTGAAGCATATGATTAGTATTTATTTCTTTGCATATCTAGGTGCTTCTGTTCTTTCTTAGGCCGATCCGTTCAAGAAGGGGATATTTTAATTTCCTCGCTGTTTCAGTTGTAGGTAGGCTTTACTTGAATCTTGAAATCCTGGTTTTATGGATAGATTTTCTGACTGAGGTGAGGGTAGCCAGTTGCTTTCTCCATCTTTTTTTGCATCGCCTTCTTCCATATCAACAAGCGTTCTTGCAAGCCAGAAATGATCGCACATGCTGATTACTAAGGTAAGGAAGAAAGGTTGGTGTTTGCAGATTGTTTCGTTGCATTGCACTTACTTTGCTGTCACTTTAATTCCTCCAGTTCCTTGCTGGACAGCTGTACTGAGCTCAGCCTTCCCACCTACCTTTAATAACGCTAGTCGCTTCTTGAAAACACAAAGTTTGGAGAAATTTAAGTATGGATTACAAGTACTGAGGTGGGGATTTTAGTATGTGCCTTCGTTAAAGTGTAATGTAGCAGCGCCTGCACTGAACCAATCTTGGATTATTTCTAATGTTGGCTCAAAATGCATATTTTTTTCTTAAAACTATTGTGGGTCATTCCACAATGAGGGAGTTCATTAAAAATGGGGGTGGGGAGAGGGAACACCTTTTTAAAGAGGAGTCTTTTTGATTCCATGGTTTATGATGGTCATATTCCAAAGCCTGGAAAAGCTTTCATCTTTATTTTTCAAGTGTTCTTCACAAAATAAAAAGTCATTTCTATATGTCTATTGGATTTGTCTATGCATGTCTCACTGATACATTGATTGGGAATGGCATGAATTAGTTTCTAAAATTGGACGGGGCACAACCTTCATTAAGCTGTAATTTCGGAATCTGTTCCTAAGACAGCATTCAGATCTCTCTGTGAGAAGTTTCCCCAACCCGGCTGGGGTTGCGCTGTGCAAAGACCTGGCTTCAGTTGGAGGACTGGGATTTTGATGCAAGTTAATATGATTTTTAGCTGGTGTTTTTCCCCTTTTTCACAAAGCATGGTCTAATATTAACTGCCTGTTATTTCAGCACCCAGTTCTTGCACAAATACAATAATCTGGTCTGTCTTTCAAGGGAACTAGCATAAGTCATCTAGAGGACTGTGGCTCTGCATAGAGTAAGAAACACAGATCGCTAAGGAATGATTGTCTTTTGATCTGCAGTCCTTGTAAAAGAGCAAGCGTTCAGCTCTGGGAATCTTATTATGAGAAAACTGTGGATTTTCTTTTTCTTTTCCTCATAAGCAATTTCAATTTGCTTAACTGATTACAGAGCAGAAGAAAGCGGCCTGTTTAAAAAGCGAACTTCTTTTCGCTCACTTTAATGCTGCCTCAGCGGCCACTGAACAGAGCCGTGGCATTCTGAAGGGTGTTGCAGGTACAAGCCCCAAGAAGGAGGAGCGGTGGCGTGAGGGGACGTAACCGGGGCGGGTGAGCGATGGCACAGAGGCTGCAGGCTGTGCTCGGGAGAAGCTCCGTGGTTCTGGAACTCGCTGGCTGCTTTGGCTGCTTCCCTGAAGCTGAAGGGAGCGGGTGCCAGGAGAGTCCTCCAGCGTGGTTAGCGGCAATTTGGGGATTTTGCCAATACTTCAGCTGAACTTGCCTGTAATTGAGGAGTTAATCTTCAGCCCTAGCCATATCCAAGACAATACCAAGCTGAGTTCGCAAACGAGCTTAGAGAGACCAAGAGGTGTGAGGTCCCAGCCCTCGAGTCAGTGGCTGGAAAGCTAACAACTTAACTGTTATCTTTCCATTTTCTGACTGAGCCTTGGTCAGTGCAGCTCCATGTGCAGATAAATGCGAAGGACATGATAATGATACGGCTCTTTCCATCGATCTTTATTACAGCTGGGCAGTGGAGGCCCATTAGCTGTGTTTATTGAATGGAGTTTGCAAGTACCTGCAAACTGCTGCTTCTGCTCGTGTTTGATCTAGGCGTTCGTGCCTTGTAAAAGCATCGATCTTCTTGCTAGGAGAGTATCAGCTTCATGGTTAACAAATCTATAAATTCCTGCATTACAGAGCTTTCCTATAAACCTTAACTGCAGCCCAAACAGATTTTGGTTGTGGTGGTTTTATTCAGATGGTGATCCGTAGGGCTTAAACACTGGCTTTTGCTAAAATTTCCTTGCTAATCACTGGGGAGAAATGTATTTAGAAAAAAAGAAAACAAAACTGGCCTTAGGCTGTTGTGTTTGCTTCATTGCTGACAAGTTTTACTGGAGTTAAGTTAACTGTTACAGGTTCCACGGATTAACCGCGTTTAATTTCCTGCCTGAGTTTACTCTGCAATAGCGTGTGAGCCCTGGGCCCGCATTGCTCGCTGGGCTCCGAGGTGCCTTCTGCCCCTCTGTGCTGGCAGCCTTCCTCACGCAGGTACCCGCCAGGATGCTCTCCTCCGACCACCCTGGGTCCTGCGGCAGTACTCAGCCCATCACCGTCCTTTCTGAACTGCTCCCGCCTCTGCTCTCAGCTTGCACCAGCCCTCCTGTCTCTGCTGGGTAACCCCGGGGGTTGCTCTTCTCCCCTATGACGGATCCCTCTCTTTATTTGCCCTTTTATTTGCCTCGTCTGCAACTTCTCCCGGGGGGCTCTATCTGCCGCAGGCCTTGTCTTCGAATTCCTCTTTAATTCCCTTTTTCCTGGTGATCACAGGGAATCGCCGATCGCTTCTGAACACACGCAGTCTTCTGTGTTCCGTGCAGAAGCTGGTGAGACCACGGTGTAATTCTGCTGCTGTCCTGTCTCCTCTGGCTGCCGTCGCTGGCCAGAGCCACGTTTTGACTGTCAGCCCCTGCCAGCAGCCTGTGCTTGTGGAACAGCTCCCGGGTGACTTCTGTGAATTATACCTGTGTTCTTAATGCCCAAGAAGTTTAACCCTCTGCCCACCCGCCAGCCCTTTTGCTGGTAAAGAGATTGATTTCCATATCATAGACTCGGCACGCACGGCTGGTGGCTGAATGATCTTGGTTAACGGCCAGGTTGTGATAAGCGGGACTTGCTCAGTTCTGCAGAGTATCAATTTTTTAATTATGGCCATGCACATAAAATAATGTGGACAACAAGGAAAGGGAATTTGGAAAGGAAATAGGCTGATTGAATTGTTGTTTGAATTTTACAGCAAAAGTTTTAACAAATAATAAGAAAACAATTTTCTGAAATTCACATTAGTGAGCATGGCAATTCACAAAGCAATAAAAATACAAAACCTATCTTAATGTAGACTATAGTTGCATGCTTTTATTTCTTACTGTAGTAAACGGCTTTCAGACTAAAAGACCTATGGCTTAGGAAAAAAAAAAGAAATCGTGCTTGGAAAAATGACTGCAAAAAGTACAAGGTAGCTATGTGCACACAGAACAAACTTAGCAAATGTATTATAATCTAAGAATCCTTTTCAGAATGATGCTAACTGGGGTAAAGGAGAGTTTGTAAACACTAGCAAAGAAAATTCTTCTCTATTAATGATAATCATACGGTCATTAAGATAAACTGCTACTTAAAAATCAGTGGGTGGTGCCTCATTCTGGGTATCTGTTGCACCGTGGGGTGCACTGAGTTCTTGTGACCGTGGCTTCTCGGCAAGAGGTCCGCGAGGGAAGGTGCGAGGACGGCTCGCGTGTGCTGTGCTGTGTCTCTCGGCACTCCCGGGGCTGTCGTCTCGGTCCGCGTGTGCGGATCGGTGCAGCCCCTTGCTCAGAGCTCCGTGTGCAGAAGCAGCTTCGCTTGTCTCATGTTTTCAATCACTGTAGAGAAAGCACTGAAGATACTAAAGGTGACAGGGAAGGTGCCTACATCTACACAGCTTAAGGTCAGAAGTTAAAGCCACTCTGGATAGCTAGGCTTCTAAAAGGTCTTTAAAAATTTTTTTTTTTCAATTTTAATGAGTAGTTTTGACTAGTTATTTTGTCTCAGCAACAGGTTTTCACTGGAATTAGTGATTGGCTTCTAGAAAATGTTAAAACACTTGTTTGGGGGAAGATTTTGTTTTTCTTGGACTATTTTGTTAACTCCTGTTGGTGGCAGAAGTATCTATAATGCTGTGTTTTAATCGGTACTCCAGGGACAGAGTGCCATTAGAATACACGAGTTCATCTGATGGAGTTCACGGGTGGCAGAGATGCTCTTTTCTGCATTCTGCAGGCGTCCCATGAGGTTCAAAGCTTTGAGTGTCAGACAAAAGTCTGTGAGCTGCTGAAGTGGAAAAACAAGAAAAGAGGACTGTGAACCCAAATCACAGGATTGTTGTTAGCCTGCATGTCTGTGGGAAGGGGTTTGTTCTGTTCCCCACAGAATCTGGCTCATCCAACTTGCTATGATCTGGGGATCGAGATCTCAGAAAAATACAATTCTCTAAGTGTTAGTAAAGTGGGCAGCCAGGAGAGGGGAGTGCAGAGACACCAACCCTTAGGATTAATTCCAGTCCTCCTGGAATACATATTTTACAACTTTGGTTACCCCTAGGGCAAGAAGCATTGAAAAAGCTTCTGCGGTTCGGGTTATGAAGCAGAGCAGCAGTGCCCTCAAGTCTCGAAATACCTTGAACCGAAGCAGATGGGGTTTTGGGGCCAAACTTAACTGCATTGGAAACTCCACCAGCAGGATTCAGACACTGAGGACAACTCTCCCCATACTTTACTGCCCAGTTCTTCAGAAATATTCAGCAACATTTTTTTTCCCAGAAGGCGCTTGCACTAAATTTACTTCATTGATGTTTATAAAGGGCTTTGAACAGATTTTACTGCAGAAATAGATCCAGCATTTCTCAAGATTCTCTTATACCCTCTTCCTTTAACCACATTTGTCTTGTATAAACCTGAGGTGGCTAAAAAGGGATCAGAAAAGTGCCCATTTCACTCACAGGTCGAAATATCTTCTGGTTCGTAAGTGTACATCCTGTTCCCATATTTGCCAGTTAGATCAGCTCGAACTGTCATTGAAGGATCTTGAGGGGGGAAAAAAGTACAAGATATTAGCAACTCCGGCTTTGTGAAGTGGGGCGGTGGTGAATAATTTTGTGAGGATAAAAGCCCTTTAAAATGGTGTTGATCGGCTTTTTCGTGGCCGGAAAGGTACACCTTGAAGCACCAGGCTCTCAGCAGCTGTACGTTAATGAAGGGAGTCTACTTCTGAAACCCATCACGAGTAGATCCTCTACATACAAGCCTCATCTGGTGGCTCAAGATTATCGCCCTTTGTCCCCTTCGTACCCAGCAGTTTGATGGTAAGTTTGCCTTTTGTGTAGTTGTTGGTCACAGTCGGTGATGGGCATTTGCTCTGCCCTTGGAAAGAGAGCTTGTCATTCATCTGAGGACAGGCTTGGAATAAGAGGCTGTATTCAGATGTTGTGGCACGGTGTCACGTAGGCAGGACCAAACTCTTAAAGGATATACGTTAGCAGTTAATAGCAGTGACACGCTGTTCATTTCCACTAGTGGACTAAGACTGTCGCGGTCCTGTTTTTAAAAAGATGGTAGTGGTTTTAGATGCCCGATTTAAGCTCCGATTGCTAAACAAGTATTCTGAAATAAGGCCTGTTTTGGGTTTTTCCGCTTAAGCTGTTCCTTTTGAAAGTCTGGGTTATTCCTACAGCTTTAGTGCCCAAAAGAATAAGAGCTATTACTGGGAGCAACATGAATTCAATGAGGACCATATAGAAAAAACACTGCCCTGATTATTCCCGACACCAGCAACTCACCCACAAAGAGGATCCGAGGGACGTAATGGCCATCAGGCGCCATGTTGTCATCGCTGCTGGAATGCTGTCGGAGTTAGATAGCCAATTAGTGATGGGTAACTGTCCAAGTGCTAGAAATGGACTGACTCTGCTGAGCATGCCTTGTCTACTAATAACTAACAATTGTGGTGTGATCAAATATGGAGTTTCCCTGTTCTGTCAAAGTTGTCCCATGCTAGATGCTTGGGGATGAGGACAGAAACCCCAGGCAGGTGACTCAGAAAGCCTGATGACTGGATGTTTTTTCCTTTTTTTCCTTGTATCAGAATATGACCTGTTGTTGGAGAATACAAAATGGTATTCCCGTATGAATAAGTATATGTATGGAAGTGTCTCCCTGTCCCCTCTCCAAGGAGGAACTGTGTTGGTGTTTTGCGAACCCTGTTGTACATCCTCAGAGAAGTGGGAGAAAAAAGAGAATTTTAAATACAACTTCAAAGCTGTGCAAAGTGAATCTATTTCTGCTTTTAATATGGCTTATTCCACTCCCCAGTAAACATTTTGATTAAGATCTTAAAATTCAGACTTACCACCAGATTGAGCATGATAAAGTCCTCCTGAGCCATCTGCTGGATCTCTAGGCTAGAAGCAAATGCTTTCCTTAAAGCTAAAAGAGAGAGAAATGCATTATTTGTGTGGAAAAAAAAATTCTTGATCACTGTTTTTCATGGTTTTGCATCATCTTATATTGATTCTAAATACACCAGTAAATGACCAGCACTAATTTCTGATGTGCACATGTCACACAAAGATTGGAGCAGTTGGTTCTCTTAAAGTAAAATGCAAAAGACATTTAGTCCTTGAGAAACTGAAATGCTGGTGTACGTATTTCCTCCCCAGTGGCTTTATTCGGCCATCTGTGGCCCAGCACTGCAGAGTGTAGGAGTCGTCTGCACAATTTATGCTGTATGCATTTGGGGGAACAAATACAGAAATTTCATAAGAAATGGTGGGGCCAGACTTCCCTGGCAAACCTCGCTTTGTTCTCGATAACCTAGGAGGATAGTGAGTGGTCTGATGCACTTTGGCAGGAGGCTTCGTAAGAGTAAGAGGAAAGTGTATAAAACAGATGGTAGCAGATGCTTTTGCAGGCCAGAAGATGCTGTAAACTATTGCACTTCTAAGATTCTTGTCTGCAGATGAAAATACACTGCCAAAGGCATGTTGCAGTCCCTGTGAATTGGTGAATATGAGGCTATAAAGATAATTTTCTTGGAGTCTGACTCTCCCTGCTTGCAGGATACCTGTAACTTCAAAGCCATGGTATAAAACAATGCAATGGAGGCAGTGCGATGCCTAATCTTGCTGGCTTGACAGAGTCTACTCTCAGAGCTTCCTTCTGGGGGGATACAACTTCCCCAAGCTTTAATCACATGAGCTGATGATTTCCGTGCTTGCTGCTGTCTAGGACGGGAGTTGAGAATTGGCAGGAAGGAGAATTGGCAGGAAGGAGAATTGGCAGGAAGGAGAATTGGCAGGAGATCAGGGGTGGGGAAGAGGATAAAGGAGGAAAGCTTGGTGTCTACCTGCCCGTTTCATAGCCATGTGTCTCTGCCATGGAAGTTTTGACCCAGAGCACATTACTGTCCAGAAAAACTTTGCAACTGTTTTATTCCCCAACTCTTCTCAAGGGCCCCCAGTGGATTTACTGTCTCTCCATCTTTCCCTGCATGTGCTGGAAGGGCTTCACACCAAGTGCTCAAATGCTTTGTAAGGAATGAGCACTGACAGATTTGGATCTTCCAGGTTGTTTCTAAGGGTTTGCTTTGCTCACCTTGGCTGTAAGGACACTCTTCCAAGTGGTGAATAACCATCAGTGGCTTCTTGCTGAAACGACATTGCAGGAAAGGAGTGAGGAGGCAATTCAAGACCTTTTGCAGACAGCACTTGCAAAGAGTTAAGCCATTAAGTTGCTCCAGGGATATATTTACACTGTGGGGAGCAGTAGCAACCAGGCTAGCAGGGAGTTGTGGACACAGTCACGTACAGAGGGGCGTATCACTGAGAAGGCAACACTGGAGGCACTGGGTGTTTGCTCATCTCCCAAAATGTAAGCTCTCACCAAGATCTTGTTTAGCCTCCATACCATGCAGCAAAATACAACTTGCATCTTGCTTGCAAGATACAAGGCACAGTCTGAGCATCATGTTAGAGCACAGCTTTGTTCTGTGCAATTAAACATATGAACTGGTGTGACAAGAATTGAGGATTACCTGTGTTTTGATCGTGCTAAACCTTCTTCGTATGTCTGCACCCATTCAATGTCATCTCCCCAGCCTGTTGAGAGCACCCTTAGTTAATTTTCCCATCAGTATGGATGAGGATGTTCTGCTGAATGGGAGCTGCAGCCACACGTGCAATCGGGTGGCACAAAGTAGGCACCTTCCCTCAGGGTGTCCAGACTCTCAAGGTATTTGTGGGTACCAGGAGAGCCCCAAGCAGAAAGGTGCAAGGAAACAGATGATAGGAAGGGGGGTGGAACCCCAGCCTTGCTAGGGCTCAAGTGGTGGATTAGGATTACAGACAGGTATTTCCAGCCACTCGAAAGCTGGAGCCCAGAGTTCCTCCCGGAACTTGTTCACCCTCCCAAAGAGCCGAACGAGGCTTGCTTCTTGCATGTGGCTTCCTGCAATAAGGGATTGCTCGACAGGCTGGGGGCTAGGGAGGATAGGGATGCAAGGGTGTTTTTGGTGTGAAGTGGATCTTACTTGATGGAGCAAAGCTTGGACCTGAGTCTGGAGCCCCTTCCAATGGCTACAGCACCCCGCTCATGCCCTGCATCACCCAAAGGAGACCCCAGGGAGGAAGAGGGTGTACCTAATGCCTGTGTCTGACCTACGATGCTGGCAGGAAAGTGGACAGCAGAGGGGTTGAGCCAGCTGCAGCTTGGCTCTGTGACTATGGTTTCCTGCATACAGAGCATGCCTTTGTAGGGGTAGGGGCTCTGGTGGGGCTGCCTATTGAGCTCAGCCTCTGCAAAGCTGATCCAGCAGCTGATCAGCAGTCAGTGTAACAGCCTGGCTCTTGGCTCCGTCCCCAGACCAAATTTGGAGCAAAGAACCTGAACCTGTTCGCAAGCACAGAGCGTGAGGACTTCTCCGCTGCTGAACGCACCAGTGCTCTTGGCCACAGTGGAAATGGCACCTGTGAAAGGTAGATTTGGGCTTCTGCTTCTCAATGGGAATGCAGGGGGGAAATCTCCCAGTTACTGCTCTCAGACATTTGCCTGCCTGGATATATGTGTGGAGGTGCACACTAGTCACTGTTACAGAGGGAAATACAGGTGCTTCAGGACTGCCTTAAGCACCCCATTCACTCACCTCGAGAGAGAGTCTGCGGGGTCCGTATCTGAACCGGGCTTTCTTCCTCTTCATTAGGGAGCTTCTGGATTCTTTTCTGTGCAGACACCGTTACACCATTGCAGAGAAGGAGGGAACACAGTAACAGAAAGGTGTGCATGCTTCTGGCTGGCAACAACTGAGAGAGAAAGGATCAACTCGGGCAGGCAGAACTTGACAAATACCCAAAAGCTTCAGGCAAAGAAAAGAGAGGCCCATGAAACATTCATCTCCCTGTTACAAGTGGGCTGACTTCAAGGTTGACACTTGAGGAGAAGCCTGGGGAGCCTCTGGAGTGACCCTGAGAGTTTGTCTCACTGGTTGATCTCATCAAGCAAAACCAGCTGTATCTGTCTGCACTTACTTCTGCAGCTTGCCTTGCAGCTGAATTCCAACATCTGTTCGTGTGTTTCCTACCATTCATTGAGATACAGAGATAAGCGGATCAATCCACTATGAAGTGGTCTATATTTTCAGCCAAGCATGGATCAGGCAGAGCTCCAGTTAGGTTTGATGGGAGATAAGTGGCAGAGAAACAATGCATATCAGGTCATCTCTATCTGAAGGCCTGAATGCACTTGGAGCCTGGTGGGTGACTTGGAAAATGCAGGCTGAAATAGCCATGGGGCAGCACGTATCCTCTGTCCCATCAGCAGCCCCTTTCCTTTCATTATGTGAGATCTCTATGCATGGTAGTTTTTTTGGCCAAGCAGTCCTCCTCACTTGCATACAGTTCAGTGGTGTGATAACCAGCAATCACATCTAGCAAAAGCCCAGCCACAAAGAGCAGGTACGCTGGCAGAAAAGAAATGCCCGGTCCTCCTCAGAGACAAGACTGTCTCATAAAGAGCCATTTTCTTGGAACTGGTCTCTCACCTGGCAGCTCCTGCTGGCGTCTCGACAGGGGTGTCCTTGCTGCAGCCTCTCCCCTCTGGCCCAGGTAAGGCGAGGTCTCTTTATACCTCTGTATTTGCACAATAACTGGGTATAGACGTCAGCTGAAATTCCAGGATATCCTGCTCCCGCCAAGGTACAGAACAACCTTTTTACAAAAGCTTTCTTCAATTAGCCCAGCAACATGCATGCTTTTAATCGAGGTATAATGATTTATGAAAGCATTCATGCAGAGTTTATGCTAGACACACCTAGCTCCTTGGGGGTGGACTGTGGGTCTCCAGGTACAGTGAAGTCTCCCAGGGAGAAACTGAGAGATACAGAGGAGACGCATACACCTCCCTTGACACCCTTCACACCAAGAGTGGTGCAGAATTCACAGCACTTACAAGAGGTTTAGCACATTTCTGTAAGAAAAAAATATTAAAGAAAATAAGAAATCACAGTGTAAACAACGTGGTATGAACTGAACCACGTCACAGTAACAGGGAACAGCAGCATAATGAGAGGGCCATGCAAGGATAAGAGGCATAACTCTATGGGATAAACAGGACTTGTGTCACAGCCTAAGGAGATGGTCTTCTCCCATCATAAATTTTAAGGAAATTAAACACCAACTTTCCATGAAAATCTTCTGCTGTACCAAGTGGAAAAGACCATAATTTCCGTGGTGGAACCAACTGCTGGCCTGTTAGGAAATCCTAGCTCTGCTTCTGTATAGTCATACTGTGGTCTTCATTTCCATCTGCTCTGTTGTGCTAAGAGAAGGGCTCCTTGTGAGGACCTCCCTCTGGTGTCCCATAGGGTGGGCTTTAGTGTATCATATGGGCCCAGGAGGTCACGGTAGGGTTTTAGAAGAGCTGGAAATAGTGTCTCCTGTGTTTCCAATGCTTGGTTATTCAACCAGAGGAATGCTTGTTCTAATGCTGTTTTGTGTGAATGCCTTTCCTTGGTACTTTTTGAAGAAAAAGCATTTGTCTGTATTTAAGGTCCAGCAGGACTTGGACTTTCAACTTCAGTGCTTGCTTCTGGTGCCTGAACGACAAGGGACAACAGCCCCGGGCTGTTTCCCAGCTAGACCTTGGGGCTGGCAATGGCTGCGCTCGCAGACGGAAGGCATCTTTGGAGTCCTCAGTGCAAAAGGGGGGCTTGGAGCCAGCACAGCTCATGGGAAAGGAAAGACCCCTTCTTTCCTTTGAATTGCCCTCTGTTCTCACCTTTTCATTGAGCCAGTGAACCAGGTCCCAGGTGTGGAGGGTCATATATATGTGTTCTCATAAATCACCAGTGGTTTTCATCTGTCTCCAGTTCAGTCGCAGGGTGAAGAGGCAGTATCCAGACCTGGAGTATCACAAAGCAAGCTCAGGAGCACTGCCAGTGACTTACAGCACATTGCTAGCTCCAGGCTGAGGATTACAGCGGATAGAGTTGCTGAAATGTGCAAACATCACACATTTCTTGAACCAGAATGGTACTGCATGAAATCTGGATACAAATTACATGGGGAGGTTGAGTTGTGCAGAGGAAGATGGATGGTCATTTCAGTAAAATTCAAAAGCTCTTCTTATTTGCAAAACTAGACTATAAAAATGCAAGTAGGCTGCTGCGCTCTGAATGACAAGCTTTTCTGATTACAAGAGAAATAAAAGCCAGCATGGAGAGCTTTAGCAGAGGTTGGCGAAAGGAAACTAGCAGAGACAAAATTTAAAGAAAAGAAGGGTGGGGTGGATCCAGAGAACAAAGTGACACTTTGTAGAGACCCAGCTCTCATGAAAGTTACTGCTTTCAATTTCAGTTACGGCAGGGCAGGTCGAATAGATCCACACCGTAACTGTGGGCATGATACATTACATGGCTTCAACAGACCCAGAGGGAACTGTTTCTCCTGATAAAAGAAATCTGATGGTGCACCATACATCCATTAATTGCAGAAATTCTTTTTATATGATTTAACAGAATAAATCAAATAAGCCTTTCCATTAACACTCCTTGGAGTAAACATATTGCAGCTTCCAGGATGTTTATTGTGATTTGGGTCTTATCTAATACACCAAACACAACTGGCCAAACCAAATTTATGCTAGGGTCCTGAATGGTCCCTCCATTACCCTCCCTCCCTACCTTAAGCAGGTAAAGATAAGAAAACCAAACTATTTTTAAAAGTTTTTTATAGAATCTGTACTGAAATGATTGAAACCAGCAGGAAATATCTATCTAGGAAACTACACAGCTCTGTTTGTCTAGCCATTATCTCCGCACAAAATGTATTTATGGTGTGTTTTATCAATTGATTGTTTTCATAGCTGTAAAAATAACTCACAAAAGTAATTCACCTCATTTCTCCCTTGCTTTTCACAACGCAGAGCTCCTGAGATACAGCATCTTTTTGTCACCTTGAGGATGGAAAAGCCACAGCAAGCCCGCTTCACCCTGATCCAGGCAGGATCAGCCAGCGATCTGCGTTCGTAGCTCTGGGACACGTCTCGCGAGCTGGGTTGTTGCTAGATGGCAGAGGCAGGGCAACGGAGCCTCTGCAGAGCTGGAAGTCCTACAAAAAGGTCTCATGGCAAGCAGCCAGAAAATGAAACAAATACCAGGGGCCATGCCAAGCCCCAGAAGAGGTATGTAAGAGGCCAGGACCTCAGCTGGCAGAAAAAAGGTTTGCTGAGATTCATCCTGTATTCAAAAAACTAAAATGGTGTAGAAGGTGCCTATGACTCTGTATTACTTGTCACCAGGTAGGCTGGTACAAAGAAGTTCTCTCTGCCATAGATTTTATCCTGTTGGACGTGATTCAGATTTTGAAGTGTGTTTTGAAGCGTAAAGTCACTTCTACACTTTCACAAGAGATGCTGAGCACTTTAAAATGTCTGCCCACTTCGTTACAATACCAGACTGGAGCCAAGCAGTCACTAGCATCTGTCAGCGTGTTGCACTGGTGAGATGGAACCCAGCTGCCTTGGAGAAGAGGGAATGTGTGCTGGAGATCTCTATCCAGCACACGGGGGAAAGGACAGGAGAAGCTTCAAGCAATTGGTGTCTGAACCTGGATTTTGCAATCTGCAAGTCCAAAGTTTCATGGAATAAAATGACTTTTCTTACTGCAAGTGCTGGCTTAGCAATGCAGAGCCAGCAATGGGGAACACCCTTGGTGTCAAATGCCAGCTTCATCCTTCTTTCCAAACTGTGTAGGTTCCCCATCATTGACTTTTCTTGCAATTAGAATTAAATAGTAAATGAAAATGAAAAATCATTTGCCCAAGAGCTATAGTCACCAATTTCTTCATGGCTTACTGGCAGGAGGACAGCTAATTAACGTGACACAGAACACGGAAAATCTCACTGGTTTCCATATTGCAGGTGTTGGGCTCGCGCAATTGCCTTTTAGGACAAGGGAACTGCATAAGTGGTCCTGGGTGGGAGCTCTGCTCACTGTGAAGTCCCATCCTTGGAGCCTGCTTTCTGAAATGTTCACAAGATGACGCCACATCCAAGTGCTTCTGGTACGTCCATGCCAAGTGAAAATGGTTAGTTTTCCACTGCAGTGGAGTTGTGCTATTAAAGCAGGGAAGAGGGGGCACAGTCACAACCCTTAGTTTTCCATGTCAAGGTTAAAAAATTGCCAGTGTAGCACAGAGTGTGGATTCATTTGTCTGAGTTTATTTGTCAGATAAACCTGGATTACTGGTGGAGCATGACTGGTCCCAACCTAAGTGGGTGTATAGATGAGGCCCCATGGTATGGGGAGGTCTGGGAAGCAAACTCTTGCCACTGTCAGGAGAACCTACCTCAAGACTTTAGACTGGATACCAATTTTCTGAATAATTTTGGAAGCCAGAAACCATATTTACAGAAAATAGTAAATATATGTAAATAGGCCTTCTTGTAAAAGAATATAAGCTGCTTTCAGGAAGTGCAATACACACTCCTTGAAGTTTTGTAACTTTGGCGACCACGCTTCTCACGTGGAGATGCTGCGTGGCAAAGCCGGTATCAGTTCTGGAGTTGGTGGCAATAGGATAGGAGAGAGATCCCTCACAGAATAAAGCATATCCAGAGATGCAGACAGCATGGACTTCTACAGAAATCTATGGCAGCTATAGGCTATTTTAAATCTACATTTTTCAAGGCATCTTGCAGAACCTGCCAACCAAATATTTCAGGCCAGTGCAGCATCAAAATACAATTACTTCAAATCATCTAGGAGCAAAGATGCACAGTATGTAT